AGAAAAAGTAGTAAAGAAGGGTAAGAGGAAGAGACTAGAGTTGTTGGGCACTTGTGATTGAATTTGGGTAAGGCAAATGTATGTTGTTATTTTGCTGTTACTTTTTAGTGTTTTATGTATTCCTTTATTTCATTTATAAGATACCAGGAGTACTTTTACATCATTAAATATTATTTGATTTTGTGATTTCTAATAGCTACATAGTCTAATGAATGACTATACTATAAATATATTTGATTAGTCTCCTATGTGGGGACCATTAGATGGTTTTTAGTTTTCAAATTACAAGTAATAGTATGATGAATATCCTCTTGAAAAAATCTGTTCAAATATCAAGGTTTTCTGTAGAAACACTTTCTAGAAAAAAGTACATCAAGTGGTGTGTCTTTGTCCATTTTGTGTTACTTTAACAGACTACCACAGACTGGATAATTTATAAAGAAATTTTTATCTCAAAGTTCTGGAGACTGGGAAGGCCAGTATCAAGGTGCCAGCAATCTGGCAAGAATGTTCTTGCAGCTTCATCTCATGGTGGAAGGCAAGAGCCAGAGAGCCCAAGAGAGCAAAAGGGAGCAGAACTTGTTTTGTTAACAAGCATACTGTCACAGTAACTAATCCACTCCCCAGATAACAGCATTCATTCATTCATGAGGGCAGAGTCCTCATGACCTAGTTGCCTCTTGTTAGGCTTGCCTCCCAACACTGTTGCATTGGGGATTAAATTTCCAGTACATGAAATTTGTGGGATACTTTCAAATGGTAGCTTGATGTGAACATTTTCTTAGTCTACTGAATTTTATTGCCACGTTGCTTTTCAGAACGATTATGCCTGTTTGTGCTTCTACCAGAAGTGCATACAGGAAAGTCTTTGATAGTACTCTAGACATTGTAGTTATTAACATTTGGATTTTTATATAAGTGAACAAGAATAAAGCATATGGTGTTCAAAGTCAAGATTTTAGTTGAATTTGAGGAATTTCAACCAAGGGTGCTATGGTATAATATCTTTTACATAAAGGGTAGCAAGATTTTAGTCTAGTGCAAATTAAATAAGCTCTGATATTAACCAAATAATCTATTTTTAGAAACCCTGA